TTTGCATTGTGTACCTTTTCTAAAGATATATTTAATTCTTTTTTCTAAAATATTTTTATTGTTTTTTGCATGATTCATCCTAATACCCCTTGCTGAAAACAAGAAGCATATTTAAAACTTGTGAATATCTTAAGTCTAATTCCGAATCATCTGATCAACCCAGCTCATTAACAGTCTCATACTTTGAATTTTACCTTCGAATTGCTTTTACTAAAATGCGAAATTATTTACCTTTTATATCTCCTGCACAGTCTGAACAAGACGGCCAATTGCCATGCACCGAATCGCCTATGGAAAACAGCCCTGATGATCGCGCCCTACCAGTCTCGGCAAGCTATCGTGATCGCCGGGCCAGCCAGTTAGGATTAGAACCTTCCAGCTGCCCCATTCACCTAATCACACCTAAGCTTGCTGATGAGGAATACGATGAGGATGAGGTCGATGGGGATACTACTAGAAATCGCAAAATGGAAGACAGTGAGTTGGCAGATGCAGATATTTCAGTAAACCCTGGGGACGAAAGTGCCTCTCAACTTTCGTTAGTCGGCAAAACAGTTGATTTAGTCATTCATAATGCGATCTCTCTCTTTAAAGCTACTATGCTTCACGACCAACATTATCCGCTTGACTCAGAATCCTTCTCGTTTGAAGCCCAGGCTATCTCCATGAGCAGCCCCGGTAGTCCTGCTGACCCAGAACCCCTCTCGCCTCTTTCTTCTCCTTGCTCTTCGCTGCAAGAATCTCTTACTGCTGCCGCTTTACCTACTTCTTCACTTCTGGAACAGCATAATGCCTATATCAACCAGGTAATACCTGACCCTGCATACGTGAAGCCCGAGCCTGAAATTGATCCTGGAGGTAGCTTAAAGGCCTCGTGCAATGGCTATAGCCGATCTCAGAGCCCTATATGCGCCATGGACTCGTATCTTCCTGAAGATCAAGCTGATATGACTGAATTACCGCCAATACACGTCCTGATAACCTGTAAGTTGACCGAAGTAATTTTGCGTATGGAAACCTCGCCTTCCAGATCATTTTTTTCCATGCATATTTACTATTACTTTTTCTTTGCATACGTATTTCATCTTCATTTAGCATAACAAGAAACATCATCATCGTCTGCGGTATTATCGGTCCCGACATATCAACGAAAACAAAATTTCTATCTTTCGAGTTACCCTACTAGTTTAATTGGCCCCGTGAGTCATCAAAACACTAATATGTGATTAGATTTAAGTAAAGAATACCAAACGCCCCCAATACTTTTAGAACTGACTACACTTTAACACGGCTTTGGTCAGTACGGATTTGACTATAATAATAAGTTCCCGCAGCATTAATTTATATTTATAATGCTTAAGAATCGTTGCGTCATAAATTCATTGTTTGCCACGCCTTTCCTCCATTCCTCCATGAGGTAATCCGATATGGCTCCTTACTTTTCTTACTGTTATCATTCTTCGATGCCGCATAAATTTGTTTTTATCTCTCGTTTATTTAAGAAACGGGAATCCGCCTATTCACCAGATTCAACAATTCTATAGGTTGATTCGCGTCAAAATATTTATAATGTCATTCTAAGTCTTAAAATAGTTTATAGACT